TTTCCCCTCGAGTACCTTTGAGAAACTGGACAGATCAGGCAAGATATCAAGCCCTCACCCTGAAGTGTACTACAAGTACGACTGCAGCTGGAGCCAGCATCTTCCTGGTTCTCACTTGGACAAGTGGAAAGCCAAATGAAAATTCCTCCACCATTCCTCTACCTACTCAAACCTCAGCTGCATGCCTAGATTTGGTCCAGTTTTGCTCTGGGCCACTAGGGGCTTTCCATGCATAGTGTTGCCTTTTTGTCATTTTGTCCTGTGTGAAGATGGATGAAAAAGCTCCTTAAAATTTCCAGGCACGACCTGATGTTCACACACCCCAGAAAAAACTCCTGTCAGGCTGGGAATTGAAAGCTGTAGTGTGAATGTATGACAAGCCTGGTTGTTTCCTCAGCACTCGCTGAGTTGCCATGCCAAGGTATGACTCTTATAGGTTTGCTTTTGATAATAAACTGCCTACATTTGCATCAGCATTAAGTCCCCAACACAGAGGGTTAGGTGCTTGGTTCCCTGATGAATACTGAACCTTGTTCTCTCTCTATAGAGAATCCGAGGAAGCACGGTGTGTCTTGTATGAGACTTGTCTCCAGTGTCTGAGGAGCACTATCTCAGACAAGTAGATGGTAAGATAGCTGTCATTAAAGCTAGCCTCAAAGATGTTTAATTCCCACTTGCCTAATAGGATATAACCATCCAAGCATGTTAGATGATCACTCTAGCTGGAAGCAATATAACTGGGTAGTGCCCAAACCAAGATCACTTTTTTTCCTGAAGGTGAGGGTGCCATCTAGTTGTCTGCCTATCATATATTTGAACTCAATTTCTTCTATTCCATTTGTTAGCTCCTGGCACAACATTCTGCTGTGAGATGTGATATTTGTGAAGCGTAAGGCTAGAGCATTTGTGTTCGTCAGCAGATGATTTTACATACCGTACCATGTCTTCTGCTGTTGGTTTGTTATCTCTAGCTGTGTAAAAAATTTGGAAGTAAATCTAAGTGGATTAGGAAGATGTAACTCTGAAGGGAAGTGTACAACCAGAGGTTTTGTGTGATTCTAACTAATCCAAAGGGAATGTCTAGCAAATTGAGACAAACCATCCTGAGTTGTCCCCTGTGTGGACAGGTCCTAAGCATTTTATTTTCCCAGAGGAGCTCTACTGTTGTAGTATCTTCCCCTAGTGACTAAAGCCAGAACAGTGTGCAGCAGCCAGTTTCCTGAGGTGATCACATCAGCAGAATAATAATCTCTAAATTATGCAGATACTAGTGGCTTCATTAGAGGACTGGTTGCAGAAGACTGCTCTTGTGCTCTGAAAGTGGTTAAGAGTGGGCACACTGGTAATCTCCAACTGTGAAATTACTAAATCCATCTTCTAAAATGGGGGCTTCAGTAGAAGCCCCACTAAAGAGTTCTAGTCCCCCAAACAAAATTCTTTGCACTAGTTTTCTCCTCTGACAATGTTCAAATCTAAATAAATAAGAAGATGAAACCAAGCCCTTTTTCTGTCCAATC